TACATATATATATATATATATACATATATATATATATATATATATATACATATATATATCTGATAGATTGGACAGGGCCTAAGTGACACTGAAGTTAATGCCAACAGTTCTCTTGCACTTTAAAATGTGAGGTGTCGTGACAAAATGATTTGTGTTGTTCGCTAGGACAATTTGATATAATAATAAGGTCATATTTTGACAAAAATTGAACTTCAGTATTTTTGAGGTTTTATATGTCCACTTCAGGATAGCAAAGGTTCTGAGTTTATTTATATGTTAAAAGTGTTTTTGAGGCACATTTTGTAGAACTGTATTGCTTAAATTTAGAGGCGATTTTCTCTAACATATTTTTTCAGACAAAATGATTTTACTCCAGTTGTACTCAATCCTGGAAGTTAATTCAAATAACAAAATAAAACTTATAGTGTCATCTATCAAAATATATAAATCACAAATTTTCCATATTTCGACTCATTTTCTGACGACATCTATCAAATGTCTAATGCTTACTGTCTGAACACTCCATAGATTTATCTAACCAAAATAGAAGATTCTGTTTGGTAAATTAATCTTATAATTTTCATTTTTAATCATTTAGCTAAGTTTATTATACATTATGACATTAGCTTACAGCACTGGCCCATAGTTCCTCATTGATGAAAATATAAACTTTAATGTACTTGGAAATTCTTTAAGTTAATAGTACAGTCCACATACAATGGGTATTAAAGGCTTTACTACTTAGTAAAATAATAATTCTTAAGTATTAAATTTATATTGAATTGAATTCTTTAATTTTTAGTCCTTTTTTCAGGTATTAATAAATTTCATTTACAAATGATCAGGGGAAGATTTTTTTTTTTTTGGGGGGGGGGAGGGGGGGGGGCTTCTCCCTCCCACTTTTTTGGAGCGCAAAAAAAAAGGGGGAAAAAATTATCTACTTTGCATTGTCATAATACCGCAGCTGCTATCGATAGAAAAAATACATAACTATCAGAATTCTATCATGACGTATTGTGATCATCTTGATTAATATCAGCTTCGCTTCTTTTGATAAATTTTCTTCAAGCTCACAACATGTTTTTTAGGCATTATGATGTAAATTTTTTTGTTAACAATTAAAATTTTTGTTAATATTGATTAGATATATTTAAAGTTAATAAAGATATATATATATATAAACAGTTTAACTCTTGATAATTTTATTTGTATTTTTTTTTTTATATTAATACACTAATAGCATTGCATTATAGGAAATGTATTATATTATGCCTGAGAAATTTGCATACCAATCAGTCGTAGAGGGCAGTATATGATGTTTTAAGAGGACATTGCAAAATATTGTAAAAATAATGACAGGGATATAATATAGATTTTTTTTTCTCTTTTTTTTCTTTCTTTATAGAGGACGTGGGGTTTTTATTGGCATTAAATGGGTTTTTAACTGAAGTTTAAAAAGAAATTAAAATGATGTACGATTTCCAAATTGCTATACAGTATTGCAATGTTTGTTTTCAATTTTTGTTGTTAGCGTGTAAATGCGAGTATGCGAGAATGAGCGTGGACATTTCTGTATCGTTGGTATTTTTGCTATATGACCCATGTTCCCAAAGAATTTGCTTGGAGGATCAAATTATGTTTTAGAGCTGATGTCAGGTACCAAAGTCAAGTTGTAAGGATCTGCTTACTGACCAGGCGTGAAACTTGGGGCGCAAGCGGGACAAAAGTCTTGTTTAAGCAATCTCGCATTCTGTATCAATTGCATGGATTTTTCGGTGTTTTATTATTTAAATCTTAGTTGCAAAAAAGATCACAGAAAACGTCAGTGACCGATTTTATACAGTATAGAAATTTTATTTATGGCCTTTTATTCAATTCAAACTTTATTCATTTCATCTTAATCAGTAAAATAGGTAATAAAATATATGTTAAAATAGCACAAAAGCGTCGGGGACAGCTACGCAGTGCAAGGATTGCAGCGACTGTGTAGTGATTCTGTGGAAACCAGGATTATCATGCACAGGATCAGGAGGGAGATATAT